AATTTTGCAAATAAAAAATATATTAAAAAAAGTATAAATCTCATTTAAAATTACTAGTTTAGTTGGTTAATGAGAATTAATCTTCACCAAAAATGAAGCATAATTCTCTAAGAAAAATATATCTCATGGGTGTCCTTGTAAAGTAGATTTCAAAAGAAAAAGAAAAGAACAATATTTATTCAAATGAAAATAATCTTCTTTCAATGATAACAATTCAAATAAACATTTTTGTTATAAATGAGATTGGGATTTTTATCAATAATATGAAATACTTAAAGTGAATTTGCCCAACATAAATTAAAATTAGTTTTTTACTTTAATTTGTTTTCATGAAAAAATAATATAAAGTAATATTTTTAAAATCAAACTAACTAATCAATAAAGACATAAATTCAAACTTTAATTAAAGTCTAACAGAACTTAATTAAATTTAATAATATAATAAATATAAAATAAATTTATTAATAATAAAATTAATGATAATAATAACATATTATTTTCATTATTTTCGTAAATTATAATAAAAATTATAAATATTAAATATAACAGAAAATTAAAAACTAATAATCATAAAATATAATAAAATAATTGCTATTTAAATTGATAAAACTCATGTAAAATAAAGAAAGAAAGAAAAATGAAAAAAAAAAAGGATTTTTAATTTTTTGTTATATAAAAAATTGGTTCGATCTAAGTTGGTTTTGTCAAAGTTTTCATTTTTATATTGATTAACGTAAAATGTAAGTTGGTTTTACAAAGTGCATAGGGAAAGGTATGTGTACAAGGTAGCCCACAATACTTTATGACTGCAATATCTTCTCTTTGAAGCTCATTCCCAGTCTTTAACACAACAAAACTCATTCAAATTCCAAGGGTTATTCATGAGTGGTTTTATTTTTAATATAAAATAGATTAAGTCAAAGTAATTTTCTCACCATTCCAAGAATGAAACGTTTTCTCTACATACCGAAGGCTAGGAATGAATGTAAAATAATCAAAATAGGTTTGAATTAGAATTCATAAAAACTCATGCACTATATATGCTTTCTTAGTATCAAAAAATAGACTTAGAAGATTGATCCGAAAAAGTGAAGGTTAACTTAGACTAAAAGATTGGTTGTTTAAATTGAATAGAGTATATTTTAATTTGGTGGTTTAGGTTCATTACCAATATATAGTTTAGGTTTGGCTAATTTGAAAGTTTATAACTTTCATTAGGTATAAATTCAATTTAAATGTTTTTTCAACAAAATTCTCTCTGTATAAATTACAATAAATTTTTATTTGTAAATTAGAATACTTATTCCAAATTAGATTATTTTCTAAGAGTTATTCTAAAAAAATATCAGTTTGAGAAAATATCTTTATACCTTATATCTTTTTATATTTTGTAAATGATTTGTTTATAATATAAAATGGATTTATATCATAATATAAATTATTTTACATAAATTTAAAATATAATTGATATATTAAACAATATTTGTTACATATTTTAGGATTAAAATAAGTTTTTTTACCTCCAAATTTAGTTAATATAAAAAATAATTTCTTTAAAAATTTATGTATATTCAAAATTTAATAAATATGTAAATATTTATTATTAGTAAATTAATAATATTAACATATAATTCTTTTAGTTAAATATTTATATGTATATTGACACGTCAATATACATATTTGAAAATTAACATCTGAATATCATTAATTCAAAAATAATTAAATAACTACCAAGATTAAATTGAAATATTTATTAAATAGTACATACCAAAACTATTAATTTTTTTAAGTACTAATTTTAATGCCAGATAATTTTGAAGTTATAAAATCTTATTGAATTCAAAATTTTAATTGTATAAAGTATTCATTTATTCTATATATTACACACACTAACATACAAATCATAATATTTACAAATCAATGCAGTGAAAGACATTTAGAATTGAAAATGATGATTCATATTATCATCATTAGATTTCAGAGTCATAGAAAAAAAATTGTGCTACTATTTTGAGGAATTTAAATAAAATAAATAGCATAAATTTTTATTTTTTTTGTTTGACTTAGGTATCTTGAAACGTAGTAAAAGTCTTTAAGAGGTGCCAACTACGAGACATTAACACTCATGAATTTAATTCTCACGTTCCCCTTCTCATATTGCATTGCTTAGAAATCAAATTTTCAAGAAAATATAAAATAAAATAACCTTGTAATTTGAAGTTAATTACAAAATAAATATAAATAAATATTTTTATCGCAATAGTAAAAATTTACACACCTCATAATTAATTATAAGTATGTTTTAAACTTAAATGTAAAAAGAGATCCTCTTACATGTTTGATGTAATTTAGTGTGTTTTTTTTAATTGATAAGAGAACAATTTATTACTATTATTATTAGAAATATAGGTGTTAAAACGTCTACATATTTATATTTTTCTATAATTAACTTTTTAGATTTTATTTTTCATTTTGTAAATATATTTACCCTTTATTTTTTATATTTTTATTATTTTAAAAAATATAAATTATAATAATTGTTTTTTGTAATTATATATTTTTTTCTTCACCGAACATTTTATAATTATTACTGTTATTATTTTAGTTAAAATGATGATTTTTTAGAAAGTAATTTATTTACATAAACAACTTGAAATAATAAGCTTATTTTGTCAAATGAAACTTTTTCCAATTTAATTAATCCACGTATGCAAATGTTATCTTTTATTGACATTTTCAGAATTATTTATTTGCCTATGTATGTTAAATTTATTTCTTTATTGACGTTAATGAGAATTTTTCCATCAATCTATTTTTTCTATAAATTTTTTTAATTAACAATGCAACTAATGTTACATATTGAGAAATATAATCATATAGGCTTTCTTTATTTTGAAATTCTACTACTTAATTTTTACTTTTAAAAAATATTTTAATAGATTAAAAGAAAAAAAAATCCTTAAATTTGATTAGTAAACTATCAAAACTTCTTCAAGAAAATTCTAGCTTAAAAAAAACAACTCTCATGAATGTTAATAAAATAATTTCAATTGGTGTTATTTTAATAAATTTAACTTATATTATCTAAAAAATAATTTATCAAATAATTAAATTAAATTAATTCAAAGTTAATGTATTTAATTGTTTAAAAAATTCTAAAGTTTTTACCAAAAATAATGGTGATAAAACAATTCAACCTATTCTATTTTGTACTGTCTTTAGTCGATCCAAAATTAGATGAGACATTTTAATTTATTATAGTAAAAAAAAAGGTTGGTGGACTAGCGGACTAACCTTTAATATCCTTTACATATAAATTTTTTTAAAAACACACATTTAGTTATATGAATAAATTTTCAATTTTTATTTATGTATTAATTAATATTTTTCTAAATAAATTAAAAATATTATTATATTTATATGAAGAAATATTTAATTATAATTAATAATTTAAATTTAATTGATTAATATTTATAATTTAAATTATAATATTATAATATATTTATATATTTTAATAATATGATAAAAAATATAATATTTTTAATTATAATTCTTTTATTTTAATTTTAGTATATAAATATTTTTTTTAAATAAACTAATGGACCAACTGGCTCAATCCCACCAAATTAATGAATTAAACAGAAGAAACCAAAACATTAACAAACTGAAGTTATCAACATATTCCATCAATTTTTTTTAAGAAAAATTAACGACCAGTTCACCCACCGTTTTATTATTCTGTAAAAAAGAGTTAAAGTTTAGAGGTGTTGCGAATTCCATGCAATTTCCAGTTTTTTCTTGCGTAAAATAATTAAAAGTTAAATAACTTAAATGTATTCTATTCAATATTTTTAAAATAATGAAAATTTTCATCCAAAGAGAGTTAAAGTTTAGAGTTGTTGATAGTTTCATCACGCTTTCCAGTTTTTATTTCTGCCATTCCCTATGCGTGAAAAGACTCAAACCTTAATTTGATAAAGTTTATTTTATAAACACAGTTTCTAAAAAGAGGGAAAAACTATGTACTGATTTAAAACTGTTATAACATTAAATTTATTATTTTATATGACAATTATCTTATAATCATATTAACTGTCAATCGCGAATAAATAAAAAAAATGTATGAACTTTATTTTAAACTAATAGATTTATGATTAAAATACGGTATATAGAGCAGTTTTAGACCGTATATACAAAACTCGATTTAAAGTTTTTTTTATAATACAGATTTAAAAAAAATTAAAATAATTTGATACTATTATCCCATCATAAATCATATTATATAAATTTGTTGATATTAATAACAATCGCCATTAAATATTATATTTAACATTTAATTTGTAGTTAGATGAACCCTAAATCTTAAATTATATATATATATATAAACTATTCATTTATTTTCAGTATAATTTTAAAATATGTAATATTTAATCTATAAGCAGTTTTATCCTCGAAATCAGTCCACATTTTATTTCTAAATTAAACCAAGCAAATTTATCATCATTTGATTTTCAGTTTTTCCCAACCTCAAGCTTCAAATAAAAAGACATATATGTAATTTTTAATCATGATGGAATGATTTTATTACATTACATTACCCTCCTTATGAACATGTACACGATAAATCCTAAAAAACATCAATAAAACACAAACCTCAAATGAAATCTCGTTCTTTATTTCTGTTATGTTTCCTGGTGCTAACATTAATTGAAGTTAGCCTCTCTCTCTCCCATCCACAGAAGTTACCACATCTTGCGGACAACACCACTTGAAGAAGTCATTGTTAGCTTAGACATTCAGACACATCAACCTTTAAAGTTTACATCCCCACACTCTGCCTACAACTCAGGCACTGCACGTGTTACACCCTTCTCTTTTCCTTTAATACTGCTACGACCTTCCTCTCTTTCCCTTCAAGAGCTCACTCTTTCTCTCATTTCCTCTTCACCCTCTTTCTCTCTCTCTGGAACTTTTTCTGTGCCCTTAACCTTGTTGTTGTAATGGCAGCTGTGGCACAACCACCTCCTCTGAAAGATGAGCTTGACATTGTTATCCCCACCATAAGGAACCTTGACTTTCTTGAGATGTGGAGGCCATTCTTTGAGCCTTACCATTTGATCATTGTGCAGGATGGTGACCCCACCAAAACCATCAAGGTTCCTCCCGGTTTTGACTATGAACTCTACAACCGCAATGACATCAACAAGCTTTTGGGTCCAAGGGCCTCTTGCATCTCCTTCAAGGACTCTGCTTGCCGCTGCTTTGGCTACATGGTGTCTAAGAAGAAGTACATCTATACCATTGATGATGACTGCTTTGTGAGTTTTACCAAAACATCATATTTTTCTTCTAAACCTTTCTGGGGGTCTCAATTTTGTTAATGGACAAAACTTACATGCAATTCTACATTAAATGTCAGCATTGATTTACAGAATGAAACACAAATTTTGATTAAGAAACAGAACAAAAAGCATCTAAAAATCCACATTAAAGTTTTGCATTTTGTTTGTTCTTTTGTTCAATGTTTGGAGAGATCTTGATGTGATTTGTTTGAATTGAGTGACTAATTTCATGCCTTCATGTAATGATTTTGCTTGCAGTTTCTCCTGTGCCCTCTAGATTATGGATTCTGTTATTCTTCTCTGTATCATTGTTATTCTCCAAATGTTTTCAATGTGCAACTAGTGCTGTTTTTTTTTTTTGGCCATTTCATGAGTTAGATCCATGTTTTATGCTCTGTTAGAGAAATATTAATTTGTTCATCTTTACTTTGAGAGTTGGAAGTTTTAAGCATTGTCTTTGAAAACTGGCTTCCTGCTTACAACTCTATCTGCTAGGTGTAATTTTTACTGCAAATATTTTACATTGGTTCATATTCCGTAGAGTTAATTTTATCTGTTTAATTCACGTGTCGGCAGTGCCATATGTTTTGTGGACTTGGATTTTATCAATTGATTTTATAATCATAGATCTATACTTTCTATGATTATTAATATATAACTCTTGCTGCAGCTACCTCATTTTTTAATTAAAATAAATGATTCGCTGATATATTTTTTGTTTTGGCTCAGGTTGCCAATGATCCATCTGGAAAAGCGATTAATGCACTTGAGCAGCACATTAAAAACCTTCTGTGTCCATCCACCCCATACTTCTTCAATACTCTTTATGACCCCTTCAGAGAAGGAGCAGATTATGTTCGTGGATACCCTTTTAGTCTTCGTGAGGGTGCACCAACTGCAGTTTCACATGGTCTTTGGCTCAACATCCCAGACTATGATGCTCCTACACAACTTGTGAAGCCTCTTGAGAGGAACACCAGGTATATATGTACCATGTAACATAGCAATACTCTTACTTTGAACCTTCTACCTCACAAAAATTACAAAGTTTTTAGCCTATACAATTTTGATTGTGACTATTTCCATTGTGTACAAGGTATGTGGATGCTGTTATGACCATTCCAAAAGGCACTTTATTCCCCATGTGTGGAATGAACTTGGCATTCGATCGTGATCTCATTGGACCTGCAATGTACTTTGGTCTCATGGGAGATGGTCAACCAATTGGACGCTACGATGACATGTGGGCTGGCTGGTGCTGCAAGGTCAGTTTCTTTGCTTTATTATCACTGTAACATTGACATGGTTTTATAGAAACAGTTATATGGATATTTGGTAATGCTTAAATTTTGATATACATTCGTTTTTCTAAAAGTTTCCTTTAGAAAGTTGATAAAATTAAGCAGTTATTTTTTCAAAATAACATGAACTAATCACATATTTGTTGCATCAGTACTTGTTATGCAAGTACTTATCAAAGCAGAAATAAGTTTAAATTGCTTTGATGCAAGTTATTCTGCATAAGTTTTCTTAAACACATGCAAATGATTATGTTATAGATACGTTTCTGCAAATAGACTCTTTACAAACATACCCTTAATAGTTATATGAATATTATAGCAAAAAAAAAAAAGCAAATGAGATACTTTGATGATGATGGTTCAGGTGATCTGTGATCATCTGGGACTAGGAATCAAGACTGGTCTGCCATATATATACCACAGCAAGGCCAGTAACCCATTTGTTAACCTAAGGAAAGAGTACAAAGGCATATTCTGGCAGGAAGACATCATTCCATTCTTCCAGAATGTTGTTCTTCCAAAAGAATGCACCACTGTTCAGAAGTGCTACATTGAGCTCTCCAAGCAAGTCAAGGAAAAGCTTTCAAAGATAGATCCTTACTTTGACAAGCTCGCAGATGCCATGGTCACCTGGATTGAGGCTTGGGATGACCTTAACTCTTCTAGAGCATCTAAGGCCAATGGCAAAGCATAAACCAATCTTGCTTAACAACCATGATTACTTAGAAGTGGAACTATTTTCATACTGTACCTTTTTTTGAGTACTTCTTCTTTTCAATTTACAATGAATGTCCCTTTGCAGCATTGATAGCTGTAATTCTATTTGTCACTTCATGCTTTGAGATTAGAAAGAATAAATTTACAATGGTCTAGGTCGTTGTTTTCTCGTGATTTTTGTCCCCTTGTGTAGTATATATACATCACTGCATGACCTTTTCGTTTGCTAGTACTGAAGTTTATGATGAGAAGCAAGTGTTATAGGAAGAATATCAATGTATGGTTTTCTTTTATAATTTTTCTGCAACTCAAATAATTTCCTTTTCATCAAATGCTAGCCTGTTGTTAATATTATAGTAGTTTTATCTAGCACTGAACTTTGGTATCTCTTCAATTTCACTATAACTTCTTGCTACGTTCATGATATTAATAAGAAGTTCAGGATTCCAGTGAAACGGAAATGTACAGTAATAATATGATGAAAAATTCAATAACTTTGCAAACATTTATTGTTAGCTGCAATGGACACGTTACCCAGTTTTTTTATGTGATGTGGAAGGTTGTGACATTGGTTTAATGTGAAAAATTGTACTGCATGAGCAGTGGCTAGCTGTATTTTGGTTCCTTTGGTTGGACATCATTGAAAGTTTGTAATAATAAACTATGTCTTGTACTAAACTTCGTGATTCAGTTAGCACTGAAAATTTATTGACATTGGAAGGTGTGTGCTTAGGTGTTTGTGTGTAGTGCATCCGTACCATTGTTTTCATTGATTTTTGGGATTTGTGTCAGTGCTAAGAGCATATGAAACTGATAGATAAAGAACCTTGATAAAAAAAAAAACGATGATTGCTTGACCATCAACTAAAATATAACTTTTTATGAATATTTTTATAAAAATAATTGTAGAATAATTTTATAAAAAATAAATTCTTTAAACATTGGTGTTCGTAAACCACCTTTGTCTGATACCAAGAGAGAGAGGGGGGAACAGGAGGGGTGGAAACTCAGATAACTGACTACCCCAAAAACAACAAAAGGTACAGAGAAAGTAGGGAAAACCTGCTCAGATACCAAAAGGGCAAACAAGACAGAGAAAACCGGGGATGAACCCAGAATAAACTGCCCTGAGACCCGAAAGGGGATGGAAAGGAGGAAAGTAAAGAGACTGGAAAACAAATAAATTAAAACATGTTATAACTCTTTATCTCTTCTGTAGGTCAACGTGGCTACTTAGCTCACAGAGAACCCGAAACCGGGCTAGCTAAAATGAAGACTGTCCGAGATAAAGTCGGTTATAGCAAGAAAAATGTTCACAATAAGATTATGAGATGAATGAATCTGGCATAGCCGGTTAGACATCTCCTCATAAGCTTACATGAACGAAATTAAATGCAGAAATTTAAAGACAGGAAAAATAAACACACAAGTCCATGATAAGATTATGAGATGACTGAATCTGGCATAGCCGGTTAGACATCTCCTCATAAGCTTATATGAACACAAAATAAAGCTGTACAAAAAATCATTTAAAACAAAAATATTAAACTAATGAATAGTAATTTACATGTGGGACCCACTTAATGACTTATGGGTCACAATACTTAACAAAGAAGTAAATGAAATCCTACGGAGGAAAATTTCCTCACTAAAAACAAAACAAAAATAGTAACGTCACTAAAAGACAAGAATAGTGACATTCAATCAATTTTTTTTTTATTTTTTTTTTACATTTTATCAAAAGACTGATTCAATCTTACCGTCATTAACATGCAAGGCTTAATGGGCCTAACAACATGTAACGGAAGAGGAATCGTGACAAGGTAGCAAGATATCATTATCTGCCATTAACTTTTGTCGTCTTTTGATACAGCCGTTTATGACGTAAGGGCTTACGTTATGAGAAGCTCCTCAAAACCTTCAAGGGCAAAGTCGTCTTTATCAGAAAGACCTATTGGTGAGGCGGGAATTGTACAGTTCTGCCATTTGAATTTTTAAGAATGTCTTCTGGAAACTGACACAGAAGACATGTCTTCAAGTCCTTCTTCAACCATCTGGTCAATGAAGTTTACTTCCTCATCATCAGAGGGAAATGAAGCTCCTGGGGTTCCTTGTCCATGGATTCCAGTTTCTTCATAAATTTCTTTGAGAATCCTTTCTCTTTTAAAGTGTTCTACCAGAATAGGACTGACTTCAATTGGGAAAGGATGAAACTTGTTTCCCATAAGCTGTTTCCAATAAAGCTTGGTATTAGCAGTTTCTTTGAGAAGAATAAAATCTGAAATATCCTTTTTAGAGAAATTCCAGTTAGATCCTTCTACATAAGCTTTCCAAAGCTGATATTGGTAAAACTTATCTTTGTTTAGAGTAAGTCCCTGAAAAGGGTCTTGCTCTATAGAGGTACGCATCTCAGGATTTACCTCTGTGTATAACTTAACAACATGTTTTGCCATGCTGTCAAGAGAGTTTGGACTTCTTGGGGAAGAAGTAATTTTTAAGAGCACACTCATCATATGCTCGGCTTGTATTTCATTTACCACAGAGTTTATTTCTGGGGTTAATGAATGAAATCTTTCTGTAGGAGGGATGGTAATATCTTGGAGACATCCTGCTTCTAACAGAAGTTGAGGGCTTATCAGAAGCTCTCGGTATAGTTGGTTTTTGAAGGTAGACAAATCAATTTGTGCCCTTCGGATGACAAACTTTAACTGACATGTACATTTTGTGGATACTGTTTTACAGTATTCCGAGGATCCTAAACAAGGGTTCCTAGTGTTAAAGTAGGTCTGTGTTTTGACAGTAAGCCCATGGGGATTTTGGGCTTCGGAGTGAACTTCAAACATAAATTCTTGTATCACCCCAAACTTGGCTAAAAAGATGTTTGGGTTAACCTGGGTAGGAAGGCAACAGGCTCCTGCATAGGTTTGTGTTTGGGCCTTTGGTTCAAGCAAAATGACCGTTTTTATTTTTTCTTCATTTATGGTTTCCAATTTCAAAGCCATCTGGGCTTCTTCCTTGGAATAAAAACCTTTGTAATTAGACCAAAACTGGTCTTGTTTGGCCTCATAGAGGTCTTTGTATGAAGTATAAACTCCTTTGTTTAGCCCCGTAACTAGGGCATAATGTGTAAACCCCTTACCAGAAGGAGAAGTTGCGGAAGTCAACCTAACTTCCTTGTTATCTGCATTGCAGAAACTGTATAATGCGCTAATAATGATTTGCTTCATTTTAGCGACTTGTTACTCATTCTGAGCTGTGTATTTTGGAATATTCCAAATGTTGTCAATTAAAACATTTAATTTGACATTTGTAGATTCCCTACCAGGAAACTGGTAGGAATTTGTAAGTATGGGTAACTCTTGTTTCCCATACTTCATGTATTTTTCCACCATAAATGGGGATTTTGTGGGTTTAGGGCCTAAAGGCCCTTTCCCTTTGTGTGTAGAATCCATCATTGGATTTCTTGTTCCTGAAAAAGAAACATTAGTAAACAAGTCATATAAACTTGTAGAAGCCATCAATGGTCTTTTGTTCCTAAAAAACAATCAGAAAATAAGTTATATCAAGCAACAAAATGCTTTATTTTCTCTAGTCCTTGTTCTAGAGTTTTTATGTGAGCCTTGCAAAAGGCAACCTCATAATCAAAATTATGAGGGTTTAGTTCATCTTTAATTAGATGGATTTTGGCTAATCTTCTTTTTAGCCCTTTTATGTGTTTTGTGATCATTATGACAGGATGAGGACCAGTCTCACCAAATCTTAATGGTCTGTGTAAAAACCCAAATCCCGGGGGAATCTCAGGGTCGTTTTGTACTACCAAGTCATTATCCATAGTCTTGGTCTTTAGAGGACTTGCCAGAGTCCTTTGTAGTGACATACCTGGAAAGGATGTCAGCGAACATATTATCAGAACCTTTAATATGTTCAAAGTTTATGATCTTTCCAGAATTCATATAATCCTTGAATAAAAGCCATCTTCTGTGAGACTTTTTATCTTTATGAATCTGGTTTTTACCATAAGAAACAGTTGCTTCACAATCGGTTCTAATGGTTATTTCTGACTTATCTATCAGAAATAATTTAAAAGCATCTAATGCATGTATGATAGCATTGATTTCATAGTCAGTGCTGATTTGGTATACCTGGGGTTTAGCAGTGTATTTTCCAGAAGCATACCTACAAATTTGTTCTTCTATCTTAGAAGAATATTTGTTTTTCTTGCGCTTTAGGATGGCTCCCCATCCTAATTCGCTTCCATCACACTCAATTATCAAATAATCAGAGTCTAATGGTAATTGTAAAATTGGTAATTGGTTTACCATTTGTTTTATATTCTGAACCAATCTTATGTCTTCAGAATTAAATTTTCTTTCTCCTTTAATAGAAGTCTTGTTGTATAAAGGAGAAGTATATTGGCCCAAATTTGGAATGAAATTTCGGGCGTAATTTAAGAGTCCTAAAAAGGATCTTAATGTTTTAATATCCTCCATTTTATCTGGAAAATCTTGGATCTTTTTAGAAATATGAGGTTGGAGTTTTATGGTTCCGTTCCCTATTTCTGTTCCTAGGAATTCTATAAATCTTTTACAGATTTCCATTTTGTTTTTAGACACTATTAACCCATAGTGTTCTAGTTTATATAATACTTGTTTTAAATGAAGAAAATGTTCTTCTTTAGTTTTGGAAAAAACAAGTATATCGTCTATATAGACGCAAGTAAAGGATTTAAAGTCCTTAAAAAGGTTGTCCATTTTTCTTTGAAAAATGGCGGGTGCATTTTTAAGGCCGAAAGACATAACATGCCATTTGTATAATCCTTTTGAACAGGAAAAAGCTGTCCATTTTATAGAGTCAGGATCCATTTTGACCTGGTGGAACCCGCTCTTTAAATCAAATTTTGAAAACCATCTTGCATTTTGGATGCGGTTTATCAAAATATCTTTAGATGGAATAGTATATCCATCTTCGACTGTATTA